ACCGGGTGAGTCACGGGTGTTCCCCGCCCCCACTCCTCAGCTACTGGCCGCCAGCTTCCCATCCTGCTTCCTACCGCCCCCTACCTCTGTGGCCAGTGAAGGGCCACGTAGGGACGTTATGGTTAAGTATTTTGTTAGCTGGTGGCGCAGTGGGTAAGAGCTCAGGCTGCTAACCAAAAGGCCGGCAGTTCGAATCCAGCAGCCACTGCTGGGAAACCCTATGAGGCAGTTCTACTCTGTCCTATAGGGCCACTACGGGTGGGAATCGACTCGGTGGCAGTAGGTTTTAATCAATTTAAGTGCAGGGAGCAAAATACCCTGTGACTTGCAGACTGGGTGTCTGCAAAGTAAGAGACCAAGTGTTTGTCTGACTCACTGACTCTGTTGTTGAAGGGCCTGGAGGGAAAAAGGAAATTAGAAACATCTGGGTTGTAGGTGACTCCAGGCTGGGAGAGGCTTCTAATACTGTCCTCTCACCTGTGGCTGTATGTCTGAGGGATTCTTTGGAGGACGAAGAGGACACAGAGTCCAGGCGTGTCTGAGTAACTCAGGGACAATCATCTCTGAAACGCTCCTTTTCCAGTAAAGAAAAAATGTGCCTGGAACCTTGAACACGTGGCTGTTTAGACAGCAGTGACCGGCATGGCAGAAGCAGGTTCTAAGTCCTTCAGAACCAGCTCCATTCCCACCAGGGCTCAATACGAAGTCACTGCTAAAGTCCGAGCTTTAGTTTCAGCTGACAAACGAGCCAGCAGGAGAGGGAGAACCAGGCCTGCACAGCACTGAGTTTAACACTATTCCCACTTCATGAAGAGACTGAATTTTTTTTTAAAAAAAGTTTAATATAATCTTTTTATTTTGTTGATAAAAACCAGTATGGCAGAAAAACTTTTGGTTAAATCTTATTAACTCTCAATAAAACCAGGAAGGCTTAAGGAAGAAAGCTGGAGGCCCATCCTATGGTATCTTCCTTGCTCCACTGGAGGTGGGGTGGAGAGTGTTTGGGGGGGTGGGCTCTGTCTTAATCAAAATGTGAAAACTATGCCTGAAAATCTCCCCCTCAGGACAAACCTCACCAGGCACCCCAGATACCCTGGATTAAGAGAGAACTAACTACACTTATTTAAGCCTGAAAGATACCACCCCTCATCTAGGGTTAAGGGGTCCATCTGCCCCCTTCACCCACACAGCCCTCCCTCACTAAGGGACTGTCGCTCATTTGGAGTTAATGCCAGGTGCCCCTTTCGTTTTCCCCAGCACAGTAACTGCATGGGCTTGCCTCTTCCACCCCCTCGTCCTCCCAAAATACCACAAAGCAACCAGAGTCTGTCTTAATTTCCCCGGCATTATTCCTGAACTCCTGCCACCCCACCCAATCCCCCTCAAATAAAGCAAAACAAGACGAACTTCACTCCTTCCCTATGGAAAAATATCCTGTCTCAGGATCCCTCATCCTTAGAATGGAGAGGTTTTCAATGTCTCAATAAATAGTTACCTTCCCAAGTTAAAAAAAATAATTTCTTAATAAAAAAGCTATAGAGTCTAAAACCCTATTTTACCATACCCCTAGGCCACTCCCCAGAATTTCAATTTTTTCTTTGAAAAAAGAGCAAATGGAATTGGGATCGGTTAATTTATAAATAAAAACACGATACAAGGTTTCTGTTTTTGTTCATTTGTCCTCATTTTTTAAAAAAACAAAAGTATCAACTAGAATCTAGTAACAGAATTCAAACCCAGCCGCCCAGAGGGGAAATACAAGTTTCCTGGTTGTATTTTCCGGGAAAACTCCTGATGTACTGCCATTCCTATTAGTCCAGGCCAGAATCCTCTTACAGACAAGAGGCCTAAGGGAAAGCCAGGTGAGCAGCATCCAAGTGTGACCTAAGCCACCTGTCGTCTGCTGTATGTGGGGACGGGGGTGGGGGTGGAGGTCTCACCGCGTTACAACCCCAGAAACAGGTCCGGGACTAGGGTGATGTGAGCAAGGCCCTCGCCTTGAGCACAAAATCTAAGGAGTACCAAAATACTCAGTGATCAGGATAAATACTATTTTAATACTTATAAGAATGCAAAAAAAAGATCCATGATGAACAGAACAGCAAAATTTTAAATGCAGATTTTAATTCCACACTTGCCTCATTCAGCCTTATCTGCCTCACGTAATCCCGGTCCTGTCAGATCCTGTCTTTACTGAATAAATTTTGCTATTTTGTTCATCATGGATTTTTTTTTTTCTTTTGCATTAAAAAAATATATTGTATTGAAACTGTATTTATCTTGGTTACTGAGTTTCCAGTACTCTTGAAGTCTGGCACCTGAGGTGAGTGCCTTCCCATCTTAGGCTGAGCCTGACCCAGAAGCACTTCCTCTCCTTGGGGACCTGTCTCCTTTGACCCCACTGCATCCTCAAAACCAGTCTAGTTTCAAATAAAAGCCTAAGATTTAATAGCTATAGGAAATGATTACATCAACAGACCATCAGATCTGGAAAGCAAGTGACTTTTGAGTGTGGTGAGGAGAAAAGAATCTTCTCCAACTGTGAGCACTTCAATGAAGAGGGCAGTGTTGGCCGGCTCTGTCACCAGTGGGGAAATGGGATAAAACCTTCCCTGATGAGGCAGCGAAAGGGACATGCACAGGTAAGGAGGCCTCCCCAGCCCAGCCCAGCCCAGGTCTGCCCTAGATCACACGTGGGGGATTACATTCCACGGGATGGGTAATGAGTACATACCTCCAGAGAAATCCAAATACAGAAAAATAGCCCCAAGTAACACCCTGGACACTTAAGTACACTTATTCCTCTTCTTTGTATGCACCCAGGAGTCTATACAATTGCATAGTTAATTTTTTTTTCCAGAAAAATATAAAATATAAAGAAAAAGGAACACTGGCCCAGGATGGGTCCTCTGGTTTAAAGCTCTTAGAACTGGCTCTGGTCAGAGCACAGGCTGTGCCGACTTGTGCTTTGTGCAAAGTGCAAAGGACTCCCTCTGCCATGTCCACGGCCTTACTCCCACCCCTTGGAGAAAAGGGCTGGACCAGGGACAGGGAGAAAAATCCAAGGACAGATCAGCTCACCAGGAGTCATCTGTGTCTGTGGTTAGAGTTCACTAAAATAGACTTCTCTAACTACCTTTTTATAAATTGTCCCTAACCCCCGCCCCATGTTTCAACATCAGTCCTAGTATCAAAAATATCTCCTTACAAAGTATTATTATTTTAATAAACTAACCACAGATTAAGGTCAGCTACGGCTTAACAAAAGAAGCCGGGATGTTCAATTCATTCTCCAGAAGCAGAAAGGAAGGAGAAACGGTCACTTAAATAGGGGGGAAAAATCATTTTTTTTAAATATTTTTGCTTGATGGGGTCCTTTTGTTGGTTTCTTTTCCTTTAAAAAAATTAGCCCATAAAATAAGTTGTTTTCTACAGAAAAGCAGCAGCAGAAGATGGTAGTCCCTCTTCAGATTTTTGGTTTTGTTTCAAACAGTCTGGCCAAATGTCTGTCCTTTCCCCGCGGCTCCCGACGCGCACTTATATCCCTAATGCATGGGTATCGCTAAGCAGTTAAAAAAAAAAGATCACCTCGGTGCCAAATCACCTGCAGAAAATTCAACATACACAGCAGCTCTTCTCATCATTCTCTTCCCTTCCCCAGAGGGAACTTTTTTTTTTTTAAATAAAATCTTAGAAAAAAATCACAACCGTAACTTAGCTGAGCCCAGCCCTCCAAAAGGATGAGGAAAAGACAGGCAGCAATCTCCTCTCAAACTAGAACAAATGACAGATGGCTTTTTAGAAGGAAATAAAATTTTAGAGGAAAAGGATTCCCCTTTTAAATTCCTCCCCCCCACAACTCAATAAACTGTGATTTAAACTCCCCCCCCGACAATAACCACCCATGGGCAGACATTACTGCTCTTTCTAGATCCTCCCCCCAAAGAAAAACAAACCTGTTGCCGTTGAGTCGATCCTGACTCATTTTAGCGACCCTACAGGACAGAGTAGAACTGCCCCATAGGGTTTCCAACGAGCAGCTGGTGGATTCGAACTGCTGACCTTTTGGTCAGCAGCTGAGCTCTTAACCACTGCACCACCAGGGCTCCCTAGACCCTGCAGGAGGAAGAAACCCAACCCTAATTTCAACCTTAATCAAATCGACAGCAAATCTGTCTAATCTTCCAGTTTCCCTGCATACTCCCAACTCCACCACCATGTGCTTTTTTCCAACCTAAAAGAACTTTGATCTTTTTTTTATTGACTGAGAACCTCCTCGGCCTGTTCCTCCCGCAGATGTATACCCGCCTCCCACCCCACACACCAAACCTTCCCCTAGTACTTTCCCTAGGTCCTGGGATGGAACCCAAGGGCTGTGAGACAGAACCCTCCTTCCCCCTTGGCCCTCCTCCGTCCTGTCAGGTCAAGCTCTGCAGAGGAGAGTCCAGCCCCCGAGGCACCGTCCGGCCCTGACCTGCTCTCACCAGCCTGGCAGCACTCCAGCGCACACACTTCAGTTTCCAGCCAGGCTCCCCCAGACATTCCTGTGTTTGCCCGTCAACACGGGGGCTGGGGCTTGATGAGCCAATTTCTCAAGCTGAACTTTCTCTGTTCGGCTCCTTTGCGCTGCAAGCCCGCACCCCTCAGAACCTGTGCACCGGCAGCTCCCCAGCCGGTTCCCGCTCCTTCCTCCTCAGCTCTTCCCTGTAACAGCAGGAGCAGAAGTTGTTGGTTTCAGGGTGTCCATAGAAGCTGCAGTTCGGCTGTTTGCATTTGGTCTGGGTTGGGGGCAGCCCCCGGGGACCTCCAGCCCACCCGTCCGGTTCAGGGGGCTCTCTGTAGCCATTACTATAGGAGTCAGCCACGCGGAAGGGAGGTGGGAACAACGCGCCCCTGTGAACCCCATCCTTGGACGGACTGCCTGGCTCCAGACAAGGGCTGCAGTCCTGATGGGGGTAGGGCCGCCCGGGAGGGCACTGTCTGGGGAAGGTGGCATATGGTGGCAGGCCCCCCCCACACGGACCCCCTGCCAGCTGCCTCCGGGGTTCCTGGCAGTGGACTCCACCCCCAGAAGGCCGAGGGATAGTGAAGCCCCCAGTGTAGCCAACAGAGAAGGCGGTGGCCTTGGACTCTGCTGGGGGGGCAGGCAGCTCCTCCCCGCCATCGGGCTCCGGCTTTTTCGCTGGCGGAGGCCCACTCCCTACCCCTCCATTCACAATCTTCCTCTCTGCCTCCTTCTGCTTCTGCTCTGCCAGGAATCTCTCCTCAGCGTCAGAAAGGTAGCGCTGGATCATCTCCTCCTGGTACTGGTGACGCGGACCCATCTTCAGGGTTCCGACAAGAATAAACTTCCCCTCCCCCTGCATGGCAATCCTCATGATGCTCAGGCTCCGCATCACCTCCTGGCTGTACCTGCTCCCTCCGTTACCAACAGGGTCAGATGGGGGCTTCTCAGACACGGGCCCGTCCCCGGCTGCCTCCTCCTTGCCACACTTCCAGCTCTGGAGTGAGTTTTTCTTCTTCTTCCCCAGTGTCTCAGTGCCGCTGCTGCCCCCCAGGCCTGCTCCCAACCCTCCAGCAGCCTTCGAACCCTTGCTGTGCATCAGGCCTCCCATGTTCTTCTTGAGCTTGCTGCCCAAGGTCTTGCCAAAGCTGCCCAGCTTGTTAGCCACAGAGTCGGCTCTCTTCTTGTCCTTCTCTCCGTCTCGCTTTGACTTGTCCTTCCGCCTGCTGCCCTCATTGCTGGTAGAACTGCTGCCAACAGACTCCTTGTCTGACTCCCCAGACTCAGGAGTGGAGCGGGGCTCATCTCCAGCTGAGGCTGTGGGGGACTCAGGCTGGGCCAGGGGGGCCTGGGAGAGACAAGAACAATGTCGGCAGTTATCCCATGGGGACCTCCAACCCATCCATCTGGCTCGGGGGGCTCCCTACAGCCACTGCTCTAAGAGACAGCCACGTGGAAGGCGGGCGGTGACACTCCTATGAACTGCACCCTAGCTGCGGAGAAGGGCTGCTGTCACACTGGGGAAGGACTGCCCGGGAGGGCACGATGCTTTCCTGTCTCCGGTCACCTCTCCCTCGAGCCAAGGAAAATGGATCTAGTAGCCAAGTTTTACCTCACCCACTGCAACTTCCTTCTGTAACAAGGTGATACCAAGATAAAGCCTGATTGCTCTTCTAGAAAAATGAGCAGCAAACACACGTCCTCTGGGTCAGGAGGGAGATAATTGCACAGACACTAGAATGTACTTTATTATAAATGTCTCTATGCCCATTTCTGCTTTAAATTAATCTCAAGCAAGTCCTAACTAACCACAACCAACCGGGTCTAGCCATTCTCCATCCCCTCCGCTTTTACACGCCAGCACGGGAATCCAGCAGTTGACCGCACTCCTGTGCTCCTATTCTACATACAATCCTGGCGTCCTGAGACTCCACCGGATCAAGAGCTCTTTAAGCCGTTCTCTCACCCTGTGCCCCGTCCAGAGGTCTATCTACAGAGGGCTTACGACAAAGTGATGATGACACCGAATTCATCAAAACATCCAGAAAGCTTTCCTTAAAGAACATGTTTTAGTATCAGAAAGCAGAGCCTGGCTGAAAAGATGAAAATGGGGGGACTAAGGGTAGAAAGGCAGGAAACAGTATCCCCTGGAGCTATCTGATACTTTGCAGTTATGTCAACCCTGGATCACAGGCCCCACCCAGCCCACACTCAGGAGACCACAGATGGCCTTGTTCTCCCGGCCACTGAACCTGAGGGCCTACAGGGCAGGTCTGCGTGGAGCCTACCTGTGCGTCGGGGGACAGTGGGATCCACTTCACGCTCATGTAGCCATGCAGCAGGTGCAGCTTGACCTCGAGGGACAGGATTACACTGAGAAAGAGAGAGAGAGGAAAAAGAATGAACACTTCACGGCGGCCTTTAAAAAGCAAAGCAGCGTGATGCCGTTGGGAGGTAGGGTGCAGGAGGCCTACATGGCTGGGACTCATGACAGGGATGGGTGTGAATTACAGCTCCATCAACTACCAGCTTTATGACCTTGAGCGTGTCACTTTGATATCCCTGAAACTCAGCTGGGCTTGATGATGGGGATAGATAATACTATCTATCCTGCAGGGTTATTGTGAAGTGTTAGTGTTTGGAAAGGGCCCGGCTCAGTGTCTAGAAAATAGAAAATATCCACTAAACAGAAGCCATTATTATTACTGTTGCTGTAAATAATATTTAGAAGGCATTTTTGATAATCAGAGAACTTATTTTAAAAAGCCATAAATTCTGGATTTTGAAATCAAACCCTCCTAACCGGGTCCCCAAAGAAGGAGGCACTGAGTAAGGGGCGAGAGAGGTTCTGACATTCATACACTCCCCTCAGGGAAGCTGTGACGGGGGAGGCAGGAAGTGGGGACGGAGGGAGGAGGACGGGGCGGTATTTTTCTTGCTGTTTAAATTCCAGAAAAGCAAAAACCCAGAGCAGACCACTTGGGTCAACTATTTAAAACCTCTCTCACTTGGGGCTGGAAGAAGTATGAGGATCTTCCTTAACTTTTGGATCACTGTTTTGGGGATTCTGGAACATAAGAATACTTCCTCTACTTAAGAACAAGTCACGATTCCAGGATTCCCCTCCGTCTCACAGCAGAAACAGCAGCGGCACAACGCAGGACTCTTGGTACCCAACCTCCGCCTCCCACCTCTCCATCTTCCCAAAGAAAACAGAGCTGGTCTACGGCCATGGCACCCTGCATGTGCTCCATCTCATCCAAAGAAAACGGAGCTGGTCTATGGCCATGGCACCCTGCATGCACCCCATCTCACCCAAAGAAAACGGAGCTGGTCTACGGCCATGGCACCCTGCATGTGCTCCATCTCATCCAAAGAAAACGGAGCTGGTCTACGGCCATGGCACCCTGCATGC